TTTCATATCCATCAAAGCATTGCTACGTTCATTTCGATAGGCAGCGTCTTAGCCGGTCATAAGAGAATGAAAAATCGTTCCATTTATTCGCTTTCGTCTCTGTTTTTGTTTCATATCCATCAAAGCATTGCTACGTTCATTTCGATAGGCAGCGTCTTAGCCGGTCATAAGAGAATGAAAAATCGTTCCATTTATTCGCTTTCGTCTCTGTTTTTGTTTCATATCCATCAAAGCATTGCTACGTTCGTGTGCATGTAGGCAGCGATACAGCGGAAGATCTGTAAAGAAAATGTTCCCTTTGACTCTGTATAAATGCAAGAGCCAATTTACACGACGACTTTTCACCCTGCGTTCTTGGCACGTTCCCTTTTAAAAAAGTCTTCGAAAATCCTCGTGCATTTACACGCTGACTTTTTTTTTAAGCGTCAAATTTTCTTTGGTCAACTCTTTCGCCTTTATTTTTAAAGCGGAGCGAATCGCGAACTCAAAGCAAAAATACGAAAAAGTGAACTCGATAAAAGCGAAACGTCAAAAAAGCCCCTCGATTTCGCTCACCGTGCGTGCTTGCCTACCCCGCTGACTTCGCTACACTTCTTGCCTACAAGCTCGACACGCGTGACTTTTCACCCAGGGTGATGCTGATTCTTTACATTAAACCTTCGCCATTATATGCATTTCAAGTTTAGAAACAACTTTCATTACCAATTTATATGATATCGGCTAAAACACTTGAACTTATCGAAACAGAGAAATATTATTTTATCAGTTTTAACCATAGTCGATCCACAGTTCAAGAAGAATATTTTGACGGATGAAGAAGCCTTTCAGTTTCGGATCGATATCGCACTTGTTGACGTAAAAATATTTCATATCATACGTCAACAAAACCGATACCGATTCGAAAACTGTCGTTAACTGGTTACAGAATCTGCCCACAGGCCTACAAAAATGATATCGTCCGATTCCGCTGGAACAAAAATGCTTCAGACATGAAATGGTGTTTATGCATATTACGTTTATGCGTAGGCTAATTCACGAATTCATTTCATGAATTTGGGTTAAAATTGGCTGCACAAACACCATTTCATGAATTCAGTTATACACGAATGTTAACCATGAATTCGGCATCATTTCATGAAATCGTGAAGTGCAAGTCCGGCAACGCCATGTTTCACAAACAGCTGTTTACTAGGGTTATGATATTTTTCGATTAACGGGTCTATTCTGCGCTGGTAATAAAAAGTTTGTAATCGGTAAATAAAGTTCCTGACAAATCTTAAACCCTTTTCGCATTCTGTGTATTCTTGTAACCACTAATTTTTGTTTACCATCTCATAAGCTGGTAACAAAGAAGTGCCCCGTTAAATATGCAATGCCAGAATTTGCACAATTCTTCATAGCTGAATTGCTGAATATTTTAACTGCATTACCAACGTACCTAGAATAGCGGTGACAAGAACTGGTAACATTTTTTGGTTATAAAATTTTCCGGTTACAAAATCATCGGTAACGTGCAGAATAGACCTGTAAAAAGCTTGAGCGGCATAACCAGAATTTAAAACACTGGAAAAGTTATGTGGAATCGTGAAATATAAAATAAATTCAAATAGAATAAACTGAAAATATATTATAATCAATTTAAATATAATATGGTTCATTGGTACCAACGACATTTGCAAATTCAAAAGGAGGCCAAAAATGTCACAACCCTACTGTTTAGTTTCTGGCCAGTGCATTGCCACTTTTTCAAGGCACTTTATTTCATGAATTTGCGAACTATGCATAAAGGGGACCATTTTTGAATTTATGAAATGAAGAATTCATGAAATCTGCCGCATAAACGTAGTAGTAGTAGCAGCCAATTTCAAACCAAATTCATAAAATGAATTCGTGAATTCCTATGCATGAGCGTAGTAAATAGGTGCGTTCGTTTAAAATCTCCTGTAAAAAACATTCAACAGCAAAATTCCGGCGAAGTGTCACCAGTTCTCTCACAAGAGGAAGATATCCAAAACAGTACGCGAACACGAAATTTGCAGAAACTTGTAAGTTAGACGAACAGCTGATATAATTTCTGTTTACATTCATACATGTCAATTTTATACTGACACAGTTTATTGATTAAACAAATAACTACTTAGTTCTTACAAGTTTAATTAGTCGCATTTTATCATTTTTAACTTCCAAACCATCAAATTCAATTTTGCGATTTGCGTAAATTCCAACCAGCTGTTTTTGATGAGCTGTTTTCCTGTTGGCAAAATTTTTCCAGCAGAAATCAGCAGCTTCCCCTCAAAATCAAATGTCACTTTGCTCTCTCAATTCCCCCTACTTTGCAAACCTGAAAATTTTGGTTAAACACGAACAATTAACAGCTACGCGTACGCAACTAATGTGAAGTTTTGCTAAAACTGACATCGATAGTTTTCAAAAACTATCGATAGTGGATCAACTATCGATAGTATCCCAGTTCTAACCCTGCAAGGAGCCTGACCTATGATTATCGGTTAAATTAGTGGGAAAACTGACTAAAACTTTTGGTCAGTTTAGCGATTAGTTTTGTAAGGGCTTGGGGAAAAAAGTGACCACTTCTCCGGGCGTGTGATAGTGCATCCCTTTCTTGCGCACACATGGGCGCATTTGCCTTACAGTATTATCACTCTCTCACACATGTCATCTAGTTGGTGATGTACCATTGAGTTTAGCGATGAAACTATTGGGAAAATATCGCGATAATTAGTGATTTTTCTGACCACTATTGTAACCTCTAAATAGTTGATAAATTAGTGAATAGATGGCAGCGAAATATCCAAAAATACATGAAACCAAATTAAAAAATACAATTCGATTTAGTTTATGTGTTTGTTTTATTTGTAAAAATATATTGTCGAATATTAACTTAATTTCACAAGCTTTTTCAGAGCTACTGAGCTTAGACAATTCTTCTCATTTTTAATCGGGTTCAAAATTTTCGTCGCTAAAAACAAATGCCTCAGCGCCGTTCTAAGTCTAAGTCGGCCTAAGCACGCTGGCCCCAAATTTGTTCTTCTCTATCCACATAGCGATAAAAAAGGTTTTTTGCTAATTTTTTTTATATACAAATTGAATACACTGATTTTTATTAATTCTTTTTTTAAATTCACCGACTTCTTCTCTGTTTTGCACCACAGCTAACAATGAAGTAAATTTTTCTTTGATGTATGTGTGTATGTACACATCATGCAATAATATAAGGTGGTATCAGTTGTGACAGCTCGATGTGACACTGCCTTAGCTGAGTAGAATGAGAAGAAAAACAGGAAGAAATCAATCTCCATATGGGGGAAAATATACCCTCAAATTTGCCAGCACAAGCGTCAATTTTGCCGACGCCACTTACATCAAGCTACCCAGGAGCTAACCAGTTCGCGTCATGCCTGCCGACGCCTTCACTGCATATGCCTGCACACGCCACGTCAACTGCGCCGACGTACTCTACTGCGGGCTATGCGGCGATCCAATCCGTTCACGCTACGTCAACTTTGCCGACGTACCCCACTGGGGGATATGTTACTATTCCAAACGTTAATGCCACGTCAACTGCGCCGACGTACTGTACTGGGGAATATGTAACTGCCCCAACCGTTCATGCCACGTCAACTGTGCCGACGTATCAACAAATGTGTTCAGGTGCGCCTGATCGAACAGCATTATTCGACCCTACGTGTTCAGCTTATATGCCTAAGCAGTTTATACCAGCAGGACCAGCGTCAACTGTGCCGACGACCCCTGCAACAATGCCTCATTTTTGGTCATCTACAAGTCAAGGAAATTTAAATTTGCCAATGAACTTATAAAATAGCAAATATAACTCTGTTTAAGTTCTAAGATTGAAATAGTAAATGCAACTCTGTTCAGATCTTAAGATTACACACAGCTTTGTGGAATGTATTGTAGAATATATGTGGAAAGAATAAAAAAGGAGAATAAAGAAAAAGAGGAAGATGGCGGCACTTCCTGTGGATCGATAAAAACTAAAAGTCGTGTTTCATTCAGCGAATAATCAAATCGGTGTTAATCCCTGCGTAATAGCTAAAAAATAATAAGATTTATATCTCAGGTGTAAGGTCGATACCCAGCGCAACCGGAAAAATCAAAATCTTGCGATTTAGTAATGGCAAATCCAAGGCAAGACCTGGTTAATTTACTTACCGAGGCAGGTGTGAGTTTCCCATCATCTGCCACCACTCAGCAGCTACGTAAGCTGTTACAAAACGTCATAGGAGATGGGGAAAACAACCCTACAAATATTGCCGATACTGCAGAAGCTGAAAATAAAGCCACTGCCAACTCAGTTGGAAAAGAAAGTGCTGCTGCCGTACATGCTGCCGAAAATGATGTTGCCGAGAATGATGCTGCCGTGTATGTTGCCGAGAATGATGCTGCCGTGTATGTTGCCGCGAATGATGCTGCTGTATGTGTTGCCGAGAATGATGCTGCCGTATATGTTGCCGAAACTGCCGCTGCCGTACATTTTCCCAACAATGCCGCTGCCGTACATCCTACCAAAAATGCCGGTACTGCCCGTTCCACCGACTTTGAAGTTGCCACCAATGCTGCCGTTTCCATGGATACAACTGATGGAAGGCCGAGGCTTACAGATATAGACGAGGAGGTGAATGCATTAAAAAAACGCCTCGAAATATTAACACTGATGAAACAAATTGAGGAGCTAGAAGGCCGGACCCCAATTATGAGTCAACGGCGTTTAGATTTCGGGGACATTGAACATGCCCTTCCCAAATTTAGTGGCGACGACGTGTCACATTCGGTTCGTTATTTTCTCAACGATTTTGAGGAGATAATGGAGTCGTCGGGGGCGGACGACAAATTTAAATTGCTGGCGCTACGTCGATCGTTGACGGGGACTGCTCGGGTATTTTTGTCGACTACGTCGGCATTGAGCTACGTCGCCCTGAGGCAAGCGCTGCTGGCTGAGTTTGACGTCAAGGTCACTCGGCAAGAAATTTATAAGATGCTATCGCAGCGGCGATGGAAGCGGAAAGACGAGTCTATGCACCGTTACGTTCTCAGTATGCAGGCATTGGCAAAGCGTGCTAACGTTTCCGAAATGGAATTTATAGATTTCATCATTGACGGTATTGGGAATGTACCCAACATGCAGATTCTTTTGACGGCACGTACGCTAGATGAGTTGAAGACCATTATAGGTAGATATCAACATAAATATTTCGTGGTCAATACATTGAACACGAATACGAAGCAAGTGACAACAACAACAAATATGAGACAACAATCAGCAACGAACGTAAAGCAACCAGCTGGGACTTCTAAGCCGAGGACAAACATACAACAAGCAACGCTCTGCTACAATTGCTCGCGTTATGGGCACACCAAACCCAGTTGCCCATATCCACTTCGTCCAGATGGTTCTTGTTTCCGTTGCTGGCGAATGGGCCACGACCACCGTAATTGCCCGAATCCAGCAAAAGTTCTGAAACCAAGGGAGGATGTTGCGTTTGTAGCAGATGAAGCAGCATACAATGAGGATGTCATCGACGAGTTTAATTTTGTAAGTATATCATATGTAGTAGGTAGAGAGCTGATATCTGACGTTGTATTCTCTCTTTTTGACACCGGTAGTCCGGTTAGTTTTGTAAAGGAGTCGATGGTCCCAAAACAGTTGGAGCATGCAAGTATAAAGGCATCGGAGGAAAAAGAATAACCGTACTTTTTAAAATTACATGTATAATTGAATTTTCTAATAAAAAGAGTGAAATTGAATTGAACGTTATTTCAAATGAAGGTATGACCATACCACTTATTTTGGGACGAGACTTCCTCCGGTTATTTAATATAAGATTAAGAGGTATCACAAAGAAATATTCTAGAAGTGAATTATTAGAAATTAGAGACCGAGCTAATTCTATTATGTACAACCCTAATGTAACTCGTTCCGATGCGCACTCCATCATGATAAAGCTGCCTAGACCCGATGATAACTATAAAAATGAAACTATTGCCGATAATTGTAAGGAGTTTAGTGATCCCGCTGCCGTTGACGTGTACGATATATTTAATATTGACTTTTCTCACGACCAAAAGGACGTTACTATAGACCCTGAGTTGCCTAGAGTTCAACATGAGGATCTTAAACTAATTATAGACGGTGCCTATTTAAAAACTGATGTAACTACCGAACCATTTAAGTACGAGATGAAAATTCACTTAACTTCCGACGTTCCCTTTCACTGTGCCCCTCGAAGGCTCTCTTATGCTGAGCGAGACCAAGTACGATCTATTATAGACGAATTGCGTCAAGGGGCGGTAATAAGACCCAGTAACTCCCCGTACGCTTCCGCTATTGTGTTGGTAAAAAAGAAAAATGGTAAAATACGAATGTGTGTTGACTATCGGGCCCTTAATAAATTAACAGTTAGGGATAACTACCCCTTACCCTTAATTGAAGACTGCATTGATTATCTGCAGAATAAAAGGTTCTTTTCGGTATTGGATCTGAAAAGTGGATTTCACCAAGTGCAGATGGATCCAGAGTCAATTAAATTTACTGCCTTCGTAACGCCGTTTGGCCAATACGAGTACCTTAAAATGCCTTTCGGACTAAAGAATGCCCCTGCCGTATTCCAACGCTTTATCAATAGTATATTTAGAGATATGATCGATGATAGAAAGGTTATTGTTTATATGGATGACATTCTTATTGCTACTGAGAATTTTGATGAACATAAAAGTCTGTTAAAAGAAGTATTGGAACGACTTAATTTACGAGCCTTAGAACTCAATTTAGATAAGTGTCGATTTGGTTTTGGTGAAATTGATTATTTAGGATATTCCGTCACCCGTTCGGGAATACGGCCGAATGACTCCCACATTAAAAGTATACAAAAATTTCCAGTACCTACAAATTCAAAGCAACTGCAATCGTGTATTGGCTTATTCTCATACTTCCGCCGTTTTGTACCATCGTTTTCTCAAATAGCCAAACCCTTGCAGAATTTGCTTAAGAGAGATTCGCCGTACGACTTTAATGACGAATGCCTCAATGCCTTCAATGAATTGAAATCTAGGTTGGTTAAAAGTCCAGTGTTGGCGATATATAGTCCTGAACGGGAAACAGAATTACATTGTGATGCCAGTAGTATAGGATTTGGATCAGTATAGTTGCAGCGTCAAGATGACAAAAAGTTTCACCCGATTTCATATTTTTCTAAGACTGCTTCAGGTGCCGAATCAAGATATCACAGTTTCGAGTTAGAAACGTTATCTATAATATATGCGTTAAGGAGGTTTAGGCCGTATTTAGAGGGTATAGCTTTTACAATAGTCACTGACTGTAATTCATTAACTATGACGCTCGAGAAAAAAAATCTTAACTCTCGGATATCTCGATGGGCTTTAGAACTCCAGAATTACAGTTACAAAATACAGCATAGGAAGGGATCGTCCATGGGCCATGTTGATGCTCTTAGCAGAAGAGAGATTGGGGCAATCCTAAACACTGATGATATTGAATTCTTAGTGCAGGTAGCTCAAGAGCGGGACAAGGGCATTGAGTCGATACGAAATCGTTTAGAGAAGGAAGAAGTAAAAGATTACGAACTAGTGGATGGGCTCATTTATAGGAAAAACCCGGCGGGTAAAAGGGTTCTTTATGTACCTTACGAAATAGAGGATAATGTTATACGTTTGATACATGAGAAGATGGGTCACCTGTCAGTTGACAAAACCTTAAGTAAGTTATGTTTGTATTACTGGTTCCCACATATGCGGACAAAGGTAGAGAAATTTATTAGGAACTGCTTGAAATGCATAGCGTGTGCTACACCTCCGCAAGCGAGGGAGAGGACTTTGTATGCGATCCCCAAAATCCCATTGCCCTTTGACACCATTCACATAGACCACTTTGGACCATTGCCGTCCGTTAGGTCAAAGCGAAAACATATTTTGGTCATAGTTGATGCATTTACAAAATTTGTTAAACTATATCCTACCAATTCCACAAGTACGCGGGAGGTCATTGTTGCTTTGGAGAAATATTTTAGTTACTATAGCCGACCAAGAAGAATTGTAAGTGACAGGGGAACCTGTTTTACTTCCTTAGAATTTGGTGCATTCTTACTGAGACATAATATAGGCCATGTAAAAGTTGCTGTCTGTTCTCCACAAGCCAATGGACAGGTTGAGAGAGTGAACAGAGTACTAAAGGCTATGTTAGGTAATTGATAAATAAATAAATAAATAGAAACTACTCGAGGTAGAGTACGCTATTAACAACTCAGAACATAGTACCTGTCACGATACACCGAGCCGGCTTCTTTTCGGTATCGAACAACGAGGTGTAATTGTAGACGAATTTACTGAGTTTTTCCAAAACAAAATACGTCCAGATGAAGGTCGAGATTTGGTGTAAATTCGTCAAAATGCATCCGACTCGATCAAGGCTAGACAAGAATACGAAATCGAGCGGGCCAACAAAGGCCACTCCAAGACTAAGACATACACAGTGGGTGACTACGTTGTTGTGAGAAATGTCGATACGACTGTTGGAAGTAATAAGAAGTTTGTACCCCGCTATAAGGGTCCTTATGTAATATATAAGATTTTGGGAAATGATAGATATGTCGTGAGGGATATAAATAATTGTCAGTTGACTCAGCTTCCTTATGATGGAGTAATTGAGGCCCACCGAATCCGGGATTGGCGGCAACTACCAGATGAGTGCGCTGACGAACCAGAGAGGGATCCTTTAGAACTTAGCTAGTTGAATATTTCAGAATCGAGGCCGATCCTTTATCAGGTTTGGCCGAGTTATAAAATAGCAAATATATNGGTGCGCCTGATCGAACAGCATTATTCGACCCTACGTGTTAGCTTATATACCTAAGCAGTTTATACCAGCAGGACCAGCGTCAACTGTGCCGACGACCCCTGCAACAATGCCTCATTTTTGGTCATCTACAAGTCAAGGAAATTTAAATTTGCCAATGAACTCAACGACATTGCCTCCGATGGGCAATCCAGCACAAGGATATAGCCATACCATACGTAAGTTACAAGATCTCCCAGAATTTACAGGTCTACCCGAGCAATGGCCTATGTTTGCCATTGCATACAAAGAAACAACAGATGCCTATCGTTATACAAATCTGGAGAATTTATTGCGTCTTCAGAAAGCGCTAAAGGGCGCAGCTAAAGCAAAGGTCGAAGCTTTTTTAATACACCCAGATAGTATCACTGCGGTTATGAGCACACTAGAGATGCACTATGGAAGGCCACAGATACTGATTAACAGTCAAATAGCGAAAGCGAGAGCCTTTCCGTTGATTTCCAGTTCAAGAATATCCGAAATAGTAAACTTTAGCACGATGGTTTCGAATCTGACAGTGTTTTTGCAAAATGCCTGCGCGACACCTCATCTGTGTAACCCAACGCTTTTAGATGAGCTAGTAAGCAAGTTGCCCCTATCGAAGAGAGAAGAATGGGCTCGTTATGTATGTGTGAACGGAATGCAATATCCAAGTGTAATAGAACTTAGTCAGTGGTTGCAAAGTATTGCAATGTTCATAGCAATCGCCACAGAAACTGAGCAAAGTAAACCCGAAATAACGCACAATGCAAAGCGAGATAAAGTTTACAAGCCAACGTACACAATTACCACGGATGATAAAAAGCCGCAGTGTTTTTTATGCGACGAACAACACGATGTTTGCCAATGCTCAAAATTTCGCCGCAGCCTCGTCGGTGAACGATGGAAAATTGCCAAAACAAAACGCCTTTGTTTTTGTTGCCTTCGTGATGGCCACAATGTAACAAGCTGCAATATTCGCCGTGAATGTGGAATTAATTTTTGCAAAAGATACCACCATCGATTGTTGCATGAAGAATGTAAACAAAAGGCTGCTACTGACAAAAACAGCAGCACAGAGAAAACGTCAAATACGGTGAATGAACAAATGAACTCGTCGAAAAAGTGGGCGAATCCAAAAGAAACGACAGCGAATGTCGCCACTATTTTCGGAAAAGAACCAAATAAGAAAACTTTATTTAAATTCTTGCCAGTGATAATAAAAGGTCCGAAGGGATGCCGTAAGATTATGGCATTCATAGACGACGGCTCAAAAATGTCTCTTATTGAAGAACAGATTGCTAAATCAGTTGGGTTAAAAGGGCCATCTGATTTCTTGTCACTCCGATGGATAGGTGGTAGAACAACAAGGGAAGCGTCTCAACGCTTGAATGTAGAGATTTCAAGTGCAAATGTTAATGCACATACATTCGAAATGAGAAATGTTAGAACAACAAAAAACCTAGAGTTACCGCCACAAACATTAGATTTGGAAAATTTTAAGAAGAAATATGCCGATTTAAATGATTTACCGATTGAAGATTATTTTGATGTTGTGCCGCAAATGTTAATAGGCATTCCGCATATATAGCTTGTGCGTCCAATAGACATAATTAATTTAGATGAACACTTCGCTGTTCATAAAGCAAAATTAGGTTACATGCTTTTTGGTTCGAGCAAGATAAGATAAATGAAATTCAACAACAAATGCATGAGTATTTTACCATTGAAGATTTTGGGGTGAAGTCGCTAAAGCCTGTTGCTTCGGAAGCTGACCAGCGTGCCGAGCGAATTCTCTTAGAAACGACCAAGCGATGTGGCAACCAGTATGAAACCGGTCTCCTGTGGAAAGAGGATCGTATTCAATTTCAGGAAAGCTACTCTATGGCCTTGAGTCGTTTGCATATGATCGAGAAAAAGATGAAAAAAGATGATGAATTCACTGCATGGTATGAAAATATAATTGAAAGCTACGTTACNCTGCATTGTATGAAAATATAATTGAAAGCTACGTTACGAAATCGTATGCAAAAAAATTGTTAGCTGAA